CGTTGCTGGTTTTGTTGCTGCTGTTGAGTTCTCACTATTGCAAAATAATGAGTGTTGATCCCCCTTCCGGTGCACATTGTATAGTATTTTTGAATGGAAGTGCCCCTCCCGGCGCTCCCACCCGGTTTTTATCAGGCAGAGCCTTCCTTCGCGAACTGCGCTGTTGGCCCCCAGGTTGCATCAACAACGGCTCCCGCCTGAGACTTCCTTACCACTTACCCAAGACCCTCGCTCCCGCCCGAGACTTCCTCGCACTTGATTCATGAATCGCGCTCTCGCTCGGGACTTCCGGACAAGTTATTCAGGAATCGTTTTCTCGGCGCTATGGAGTCGCGCTCTCGCTGGATACTTGCATCCACTTTGCTCAAAAATAGCGCCCTTGCGTGGGAATTTCCCGCAATCTACTCAAGCGCCGCGCTCCCGACACTCAGGCACCCAGGAGTCGCGCTCACGTTCAAGACCCCCTTTCAGCTTACTTAGGAATCGGGATCTCGCTGCCCCTCGTGGCCCCGTTGCAGCCCTTCGTGGCCCCGTCGCTGCCCTTCGTGGCTCCGTTGCAGCCCTTCGTGACCCCCTCGCTGCGCTTCGTGGCCCCGTTGCAGCCCTTCGTGGCCCCCTCGCTTTGTTTCGTGGACCCGTTGCAGACCTTCGTGGCCCCGTCGCTGCCCTTCGTGGCTCCGTTGCAGCCCTTGGTGTCCCGCTCGCTGCCCATCGTGGCTCCGTTGCAGCCCTTCGTGGCCCCATGTGCATGCCCTTCGTGATCCCGTTGCAGCCCTTCGTGGCCCCTCGTTTTGTTTCGTGGCCCCGTTGCAGCCCTTCGTGGCCCCCTCGCTGCCCTTCGTGGCACCGTTGCAGCCCTTCGTGGCCCCCTCGCTGCCCATCGTGGCTCCGTTGCACCCCTTCGTGGCCCCGTCGCTGCCCTTCGTGGCCCCGTTGCAGCCTTTCGTGGCCCCGTCGCTGCCCTTCGTGGCCCCATATATGTATACCCTTCGTGGCCCCCGCTCGTTCGCGCCCATCGTGGCCCCATATGCATGCCCTTCGTGGCCCCGCTGTCGCCCTTCGCGGCCCCGTTGCAGCCCTTCGTGGCCCCGTTGCTGCCCTCAGTGGCCCCGTCCTTGTCCTCCGCGGCCCAAGATACGCATGCTCTTCGTGGCCCCCGCTCGTTCGCGCCCGTCGTGGCCCCATGAGCATGCCCTTCGTGTCCCCGTTGTCGCCCTTTGTGGCCCCCTCGCTGTCCTACGTGGCCCAGTTGCTAGCCTCAGTGGCCCCGTCATTGCCTTCTGTGGTCCCGCATTATCTGTCCTTCGTTCGTGGCCCCCGCTCGTTCGCGCTCTTCGTGGCCCCATACGCATTCCCTTCGTGTCCCCGCTGTCGTCCTTCGTGGCGTACTTCGTGCCCTTCGTGGCCTTGCTGTCGTTCTCTTTCTCTCTCTCGCTCTCGCTCTCGCTTTCGCTCGTCGTCGTCGTTGTCGCCGTCGTCGCCGTCGTCGCCGTCGTCGTCGTCGTCGTCGTCGTCGTCGTCGTCGTGGTCGGTCCCCTGTCCGTCCCTCTTGGGGTTGGGTTGCCGCCGATAAGCGCTGCCGCTGGCCAGGCCGACGGTCCGCGGCCGCCCCGCCGCTTGCCGGGGCCTGGCCTGCAGGGAAGAAAGGCATACCCCCCAAAAGGGGTACGATCGAAAACGAAGAGGGCGGGTATCGAGGGTATGGGGAATACGCGGCAACGGATACTCGAATAGATAAGAGCGAACAGTCTTAAAATGATGGTTATTGTTGTTGATGGAATTGTTGTTGATGATGTTGATGATGGTGATGATGATGAGGATGATGAGGATGATGATGACGATGATGAGGCTGATGATGTTGATGTTGTTGTTTTCAATTTTCACTACAGAAGAATAATTTACTGTTGATCCCCCCTGCGGTGATCAGTGCGTTTTTCAATTGAAGTGTTTTTCAAGTGAAGTGTTTCTCCAGGGAAAGTCACGGGGCTCAAACTGGGTCCCTGGCCCCCGGTTCACAACACCAGCGGCTCCCGCTTGACACTTCCTCACCGTTTATTCCCAAATCGCGCTCTCGCGCAGGATTTTCTCACAATTCATGTACGCATCTTGCTCTCGCGTGGGACTTCCTTGCAATTTATTCAACCGATACTGCTGCCCATCCCTTGTAGCCGTGGCTGGATCTGGCTCGCATTCGTGGTCAGGAGGCATCCTTGGAGTGGTCCGCGGAATAGAGGTATCGGCATCTCCTTGTCCCCTGAGAGACGGGCCAATCGGTGCCTTCTAGTACTGCCCCAGGCGTGGGGAGAGATTGTCCCAGGGCGTCATCTGTCTCTGGCCTGGTGCCATGGCTGGCGGGAGGGAGCAGGAGTAGGAGGAGTAGGAGGAGACTGCTGGAGGAGATGAAGAAAGGGGCAGGGACCACATCTGGCGGCAGGTGCTCTTCCTCTGGTTCCCCGCCCCCGCTCCTCTTCTTTTGCCCCCCCCTGCCGGCGTGGTGATGGGGCCGCCGACGACTCGATCGATTCCACGGTGCGTGCCGACGTCTGCGCGATGCATCGACATATTCGACTGCGCACCCCCCGTCGGTGTCGCTCCTCGTCCACGGGCGGGGTGCGATTCGATCCGCTCGATCGTGCGAGCGGTTCGGTCGATCTACAAGCAGGGGCAGTGTCTGACCGGACGTGCTCTGTTTCCCCCCCTCTCCGTCCCCCCCCCCCCCTTCTCGAAGAGCAGAGAATTGCAGAATCATAGACTGAAGTCGGGCCTGTCCCTCTACAGGGGGAATATTCAAAAATAGTAAAAAAATAGTCTGGGGACGATTTTTGAATGTTTTTTGAGCATGTTGGGATAATATTGGAGTATTTTTTAAATTTTTCGTCCAAAATCCCCCTGTAGGGGGACACGCCCGACTTAAGCATTGACTTTTCGAGCTCCGCGCGGATTTCTTGGATCGGCGCTGGACCCTCCCGCGCGCGGAGAGCGCGCTAGGGGCGGCGCTGGCGGCAGCGCCAGAGATGCCGCCAGGGCGGCCAGCGCCGATCCAGGAAATCCGCGCGGAGCGCCGAACGTTTCTGCTTATGCAGTTGTTTCTTCTTCGATCGGAACGCGATCATCGTTGTGGCCCAAGGAATATAAACCACCACCACCACCACATCGATTCCTCTTCTTTTTCTTCTTTCCAGCGAGAGGGAGGTGGGGAGGGAGGTGGTGGTGGTGTACATTTTTGGGCCCCCCCATCGTCGTCCTTGCGGACAGTCGAAGGTTCATGGTTCGTTTGCAGTGTTTCATTATATTCGCGCGTCGCGGTCTGGGCAAGAGCGGCTGCCCTTCTCCGAGGGGTCCGGTGGGAGGGCGCGAGGGCGCGAAGATATTCGCACGTCGTGTGGCGCGGGGCGCGAGGCGCTGAGTTGGGTTACCAGGTGCACCCTCTCCCTCGGCGTTCGCCTTGTCGCCTTCGCTAGCGAGGAGTCCGACCCGCTGCCCAGGGGGCAGTTTTTCGCTCCAGGTGCACTCTCGAGGGTCCCGGGGCTGGCGGCGGGCCCCAGAGGCCGAAGTCGGGGAAGTCGGATATTGTGTGTGTGAAGTCCGTTCCTCCTTCACCCATCCATCCTGCAATCCTCTTGGCTCAGGTATTGGACAGCGAACGCGATGATTATGGGGCCGCGAGAGGGAAAAGGACGCTTTCAATTTCTCATGTCGTCATCCTCTACCGACGGATTCGACGGTTGCTTCGATCCTTCGGTTCGTAGCCCCCGTTCACAGATGTTAGGGTCCACGGATCCCTGATCACAGACATGCGATGCTAGTATCTTGCTCAAAACCGGCCCCCCAGACGTGAATACCCTTTTCCCAGGGCGGGCTTCTCATCCGGAGTCGTTTTGTTGACGCTCCCGGGGCCAGGTGAGGGCTCCCGGAGCCCGAGAACGGCCAACACATTCCCGACGTGATTTTTCATGACGAGAGCGAGATGTTTGGAGTGGATGGGGTCGGAATATATGAGGTCGGAGGATCGCGCCGCATCGCCGATGAATCGGCGATGCGGCTCGATGCGGAACCCGATTTTCTCCAGGCCGACGGCACCGATGCATCGCCGATGCGTCGGCGATGCGGCGCGATCTTCCGGCCTCGTTTGTTCCGACTCCATCTCAGAGGCCTCGAACATCCTCCGACCTTCTGCACTCCGACCCCATCTGGGAGGCCTCGACCATCTTCCGACCCCATCCAATTCGACGCCATCTCGGAGGTTTCATCTTCCGATTCCATTTACTTTGATGATGATGATGATGATGATGATGATGATGATGATGATGATGATGATGATGATGATGATGATGATGATGATGATGGTGGTTGGTGACTTGTATGCGCCGTCACTGGCGCGCAAGCTGCCTGCGGAAGGTCGCGCGTAAGCGCACTGGTCTCCATTGTGGCGTGCCGCGCTGGCGGCCCGCGTAAACCGCAGCGTAAGGTCGCCATACCATCTCGCGTAAAACCCGTTTCCTTTTGCCGCTCAATTGGGGACATCTAATCTCTGATGTCTTACAGCTTGCGGCTGGCGCAGGCGGCGGGGGGGGGAACCGATATTTTTCACACGAACTCTCTTTCTCTTTCTTTCTTTCTTTCTTTCTTTCTCTCTCTCTCTCTCGGGCCACGGTTCTTACGCTGGAGTTTGCCAATCGCAGGTCGGCTCGTGGGTTGTGTTCGCTTCATCTGGGGACGCCTTGAATCACATGGCGGTTGAGGCTGCGTAGCGTGGCGTCTATCTGTTTGGAAAAGAGAGTCAAGCTTTGATGTCTGGATATCCCCGAGTGTACCCTTGCGTGGGCTCAGGCTCCGACAAAGCCCCTGCGGCCCGCGCCCTTCGCGGCCGCGGCCGCGGACCGTCTTGTGTCGCCCCCGCGGCTCTGACAAGCCCCCTCTGGCCCGCCCCCGCGCCCCGCGGCTCGCCGCCGCGGCCGCGGACCGCCCTGGGTCCCCCCCCCCCCCCCGCGCGCGCGGAGGCCCCGCCGAGCCTGGACGTCAGCCAGCGGGTGCCCGTGGAGGCGGGCGGGGCCTCTATCCTCGAAGTTCGGCCTTCAGCGAGCTTCGGCCTTCCTCGGTCTTTCGACGTCTGGGTCGAGGAGGAGGAGGAGGAGGGGCAGGAGGAGGAGGAGGAGGAGGAGGAGGAGGAGGAGGAGGAGGAGGAGGAGGAGAGGAGGAGCGAGGAGCGAGGAGCGAGGAGCGAGGAGCGAGGAGCGAGGAGCGAGGAGCGAGGAGCGAGGAGCGAGGAGCGAGGAGCGAGGAGCGAGGAGCGAGGAGCGAGGATGAGGAGGCGGAGCGTAGTGGCCGGCTCCCGCTCCCCGGAGGTGCAGGGCGAGTTGGCCTCGAAGGACGCCATGGGGCCGCCCCCGGGCAGCGAGAGGTCGTTCCCGCCGCCGAGAGGGGGTCGAGGGCCGTGGCCCCCCTTACCCCAGGGTGGGGCTATATTGTGTCCCGTTTCCCTCCCTGCCCTCCTCTTGGCCCTCCCCGCCCCTCCTCCGCCTCCGCCTCCGCCTTGCTGTCCTCCTCCCCCCTCCAGATCCTCCCACCTCTCCTCCCTTTCTTCGTCGTCGTCGTTGTCCGCGCCATCTTCATCCTCGTCGTCTTCGGCATGAAGGTGATCGCGTCTCGCGCGTCGCTGCCTGGGGCTCGGACAGCTGCTCTTCTCCAAGGTGGCCTCGCAAGGGCGCGAAGAGATTCGCGCGACACGCATCGCGGGGGGCGACGCGCAAAGTTAAACGTCCTGGGGTTTGAGTCTCGGGAGGTTCGAGGCTCGACGGGCTCGAGGGTCTCGAGGGTCGAGATATGATTGTCGGGTTTTGGGGTCCTTTTCGGGGGAGGCGTCCGTCAGCATCGTCCAGCTTGCACCCCTCCTCACTGGGCCATGCCCCCCACCAGCCCAACCCCCCAGGTGGGGACAGGCCCCTCGAGACCCCAATGGAAACGCCATGTGTCCCAACCTCGGGGGGTACGTCGGCCAGTGTGGCCGAGGCCACGCTCAGTCCGGCACCCGGAGGGCATCCTGCGGCCCCCCGAGGCCTCCGGAGGCCCAGGTCCAGCTTCCCACGGACAGGCATGGGGGACCACACCGACGGGCACCGTACAAGCACCGCGCAGAAGGCAGCACTCGGGCGCGCGGTCGCGAGCGCAGCCGCGGGTGCGTGCGCGGGCAGAGGGGACTGCGGGGTAGCGGGAGGACAAGGAGGAAAGTATTGACGAGGGAGGAAGATGAGGAGGAGGAGGAGGAGGAGGAGGAGGAGGAGGAGGAGGAGGAGGAGGAGGAGGAGGAGGAGGATGGGGAGGAGGAGGAGAATTAGGAGAAGGAGGAGGAGGAGGAGGGGAACGAGAAGGAGGATGATGAGGAGGAAGAACAATAGCACCACCAACAACATCATACCAACACCAGCAACAACAACAACAGCAACACCACCAACAGCAACAACAGCACCAACATCAACACCACTGCCGCCAACAGCACCAACAACAACAACCACATCAACACCAGCAGCAGCAACAACAATATCATCAGCAACACTAAGACTAACACTAGCAATAATAACCGTATCACTACTACTATCGCTCATAATCGTACGTAAGAATAGCTACAGTCATACTACTAGTAATACTATTCATATTATTGCAAGCGCTACGACGACTAAACATGATCAGCACCGATCGTGCGACGAAGAAGGATACTACGAAACACACGAGTACTACAACGACGAACATTGAATATTACTAAGACAACTAACACTACGAATACTACGACACGCATGTGTAAGAAGAAGGCATCCCATACTACTACTACTACTACTACTACTACTACTACTACTACTACTACTTCTACTACTACTACTACTACTACTACTACTACTAATACTACTACTACTACTACCACTACTACTACTACTACTGCTACTGCTACTGCTACTGCTACCACTACTACTGCGACTACTACGAATACTGCTACCGCTAATCATAAACATCATAATCGTACTATTAACAAGAAACGTTCCAAACTAATAAGACAACGGCTGGCACAACTAATACGAATATTACTACGAAGAATAAGACTAGCCATATACTCACGATGAATAATCATTATATCAAGACGAACGCGTACAATACTATTAAATACGAAGAGCAATATTATCGCTTATATGATGAACATTGGTACTATTCGCATTACTAGCAATACTACTACTACTACTACTACTACTACTGCTGCTACTGCTACTGCTACTGCTACTACTACTACTACTACTACTACTACTACTGCTACTAGTGGTAACGTTGACACTAACAGTGTCCACAGCAACAATAATAATACCATGAGTAAGAACAAACATGATCACAGTAGTAGGACGAATACTCATACACTAATACGAAAAAGAAAACAAAACGACAGAGAGGAGGAGGAGGAGGAGGAGGAGGAGGAGGAGGAGGAGGAGGCGAAAGAGGAGGAAGAGGAGGAGGATGAGGAGAAGAGGAGGGTGGAGGAGGACGAAAAGGAGGAGGAGGAGGAGGTAAGGGGGAGGGGGTTGGAGGAGGAGGGGGAGGAGGGGGGGGGGGAGGAGGAGGAGGAGGAGGAGGAGGAGGAGGAGGAGGAGGAGGAGGAGGAGGAGGAGGAGGCATGACGGAGGAGGAGGCGCAGGAGGAGGATGAGGAGGAGGAGGAGAAGCAGGACGGGGGAGTGGAGGATGAGGTGGAGTGGAGAGGGGAGGCGACCGAAGATGATGAGGACGAAGGCGAGCACGAGGACGACAATGATAGTGATGATGATGATGCTGATGATTAATTATGGTGATGGTGATGGTGATGCGAGTGGTGGTGATGATCATGGTGATGTGTGTGGTGGTGGTGATCATGGTGGTGGCGATGGTGATGATGAGGAATGTGATGATGATGACGACGATGGTGTTGATGAAGATGACGACGGCTGCGAGGATTATTGTGATGTTTGTGGTGATGGTGATGCAGATGAGCATGATGATGCGGATGATGATGGATGTGATGATGCTCATGCTGCGCATACTGCTGTTAATGACGATCTTGATGTCGCGTACGCGTGTTATAAGGCGACGGTGATGATGGTGGTGAGGGCGTGGATGCTGATGCTGCTGATGACGATGATGCTGATTGTGCTGATGTTGGTGATGAGGCTTGTACTTCTGATGGTGACTATGATGATGATGACGATGATGCTGATGTGGTGGTGATGATGATTCTGATGGCGGGGATGATGACGATTACGATGACGATGACGATGCCGGTGAACAAGGTTATGCTTATGATGATGATGACGACGATGATGATGGTGATACTGATGGGGCGACGACGGTGACGATGCTGATGATGACAATGATAATGACGATGCTAACGACGGTGATGATGATGCTGATGCTGATGATGACGTTGAGGAGGATGCTGTTTGTTATGCTGATGGCTATGATTATGATGTTGTTAATGATGATGCTGATAGTGATGATACTGATGATGATGCTGATGATGCTGCTGGTAATGGTGGGGATGGTGACGATGGCGATGCTGGAGACAAGGCGCGTGGTTATTGATGACACGGATGACTTGATCACGACACTTGTTTTGATGACTAAGATTATCATGGTGATGTGGGTGACGCCGTTGTTGATAATGTTGCTGCTGACGACCACGATGATTATGACGATGACTATAATGATGAACATGGTGCTAACGATGATGAAGATGATGTTGATGATGATGATGGTGATGCTTGACGACGACGACGGTGATGATGACGATGGTTGTGACGTTGATGCTGATGCTGATGCTGATGCTGATCATGATGATGCTGCTGCTGAGGGTGATGATGATGATGATGCTGGTGATGATGAGGATGGCGGGCGTGGTGGTGATGATGACGATGACGATGATGCTTTTTGATGATGGTGATGATGAAGATGATGACGACGATGAACATGATAATGATGATGATGATTATGATGTTGATGATCGTCATGCTGATGATGATGATTACGATCACAATGAGGATGATGATGAGGATGGTGGTGATGACGGTGATGACGATTACAATGACGATAGCGATGGCAATGACGATGATGATGATGCTGATGATGCTGATGATGATGATTCTGATGATGATGATGTGATGATGATAATGCCGATGATTTTGATGCTGATGCTGCTGATGATGATGCTGATGCTGATGCTGATGGGTTGCTGATGCTGATGATGCTGATGATTATGATGATGATGATGTTCGTCATGATGATGATGATGCTGATTATGAAATTGATCAGGATGTTGATGAGGATGGTGTCGATGACGATTACGATGACGATGGCGATGACTATGACGATGATGATGATGCTGCTGATGATGATGGCGATGCTGACCACGCTGATGATGCTGATGCTGATGCTGATGATGATGATGATGGTGATGGTGATGGTGATGGAAATGATGATGATGCTGATGATGATGCTGATGATGGTGATGATGGGTTATCATGATGATGCTTATGATGATGCTTATGATGATGATGCTGAGGATGATGATGATGATTATGATGATGATGATTAATCATGATGATGATGTTGATGGTGGTGGTGATGATGATGATGGTGGTGGTGATGATGATGATGCGCTGATGATGATGATGATGATGATGATGATGATGATGATGATGATGATGATGATGATGATGATGATGATGATGATGATGATGATGATGATGATGATGATGATGATGATGATGATGATGATGATGATGATGATGATGATGATGATGATGATGATGATGATGATGATGATGATGATGATGATGATGATGATGATGATGATGATGATGATGATGATGATGATGATGATGATGATGATGATGATGATGATGATGATGATGATGATGATGATGATGACGATGATGATGATGATGATGATGATGATGATGATGATGATGATGATGATGATGATGATGTGATGATGATGATGATGATGATGATGATGATGATGATGATGATGATGATGATGATGATGATGATGATGATGATGATGATGATGATGATGATGATGATGATGATGATGATGATGATGAGGATGATGAGGATGATGAGGATGAGGATGAGGATGAGGATGAGGATAACGAGGAGGACAACGAGGAGGAGGAGGAGGAGGAGGAGAAGGAGGAGGAGGAGGAGGAGAAGGAGGACGGGGGACTGGGAATCGACATCCCCTGGGCTGCACAGGAGAGGCAGATAGAGCAGCTCTCCCTCTACCTCGCCGCCCTGCAGGCCGACCTGCAGCAGGACGCCTCGCTGCGGGCTCGTAGCGAGAGGGGAGGGGAGGATGTGGAGCGGAGGGAGAGAAAAGGACAAAGAAGGGAGGGAGGGAAGAGAGAGAAGGGAGAGAAGGGAGGGACAAAACGGAGGGAGAGAGGGAGGGAGGGGAGGGGAGGGGAGGGGAGGGAGGGACAAGCTAGGTCCGCTAGCGTCACATCTGGCGTCCTACCCCTCCTTCCCACCCGTTACCACGGCGCAGATCTTTTATCTATTCGCACAGTCTGAAATGATCCGACGTTGCAGCGGGAGCACGATGTAGGAGGGCTGGAGCGCGGGAGCGCGGCCTGAACCGAGAACGGAAATGAGGCCACCGCTGCAGCGGGAGCACGATTTGGACGGACCGCAGCACGGGAACGAGGCCAGCGCTGCAGCGACAGCGCTACGGACCGAACACACTAGTGCTTCTGCGGGAACGCGATTTGGAACAACCGGAGGCGCGGGAATGATGCCCGCGCTGCAGCAGGATCGAGATTTTGAATGACCGAAGCGCGGACATGAGAGCGGCGCTACAGCAGGAACACCATTTTAGAAGAACTGGAAAAGACCGGATTGGAAAAACATGTCGGAACACAAAAAATTGATGACATGTTGTTTGTAAAAACAATACGCGGAGTGGACGGGACACTCTCTGGACAGCCCGTGGACCGAAGCCATTTGTTTTTTACACAGTTGCTTGTCTTTGTTGAGCCCAAGCCATATGTTTTTTCCATGGCGTCATGTCCGCCTTGGAACCGCCACCGTGTGTTTTTACATGGGGTCCTTTCGTATGCGAGTTCAGCCCTTGTGTTTTTGCATTGGTTAGTTTCGCCCGTGCTCAATCCATGTACATGTGTGTTTATATGGGTTTCCTTCGCCAGTGAGCCAACATGTTTTTTTTTGTAGCCACTGCCCGTTCCGTGGCGCGTCCCCTAGCGCGGTGGCGCGTCTCCTGGCCCGTCCCTTGCGACGCCCCCTGGCGTGCCGCCCGTTCGGCACGCCCTCTGGTGCGCCGCGCCCCTTGGCTCGCCATCTGTCGCGTTCCCTGGCGTGTCCCCCAGCGCTTCCCTTGCCCGTTCCGCGGCGCGTCTCGTGCCGCGTCCCCTGACGCGTCCCCTGGCGCATCCCCTAGTGCGCCCCGTGTCACCTCGTCCCGATTCGAAACTGGGTCACGAGCTGCTTGAGGGTCCCACGCGTTCCGCCTGCAACCAGCTGTGGGCCAGCTGTGCGATCAGACAGCTCGAGCCTGATATCCATGTCAGTTCGATCAGGATTCGGATGATGAGGCCGAGTTGATCTACAACGCTATAGAGAACAGCGCAATGCATCGAGGCATGACACATTTCCTTTCAGCACCGCACAGTACGGCACAACCTTTGGCACGGTACATCATGATCGATAGTTTTGGCATTGCAGTTGCCCGTCGCTCAACCAGGTGGTTTGGAGGCTTTGCCATGCTCTGCATTTCTTGGGCTCGTGGGTCGATCGTGTGTTCGTTTGTTCGAATCGTTTGTTGCCAGTCGCGGGGGCACCAGCTTTGAAACCCACGGTTTTTGTTTCGGTCACGGCCTTTCGTTTGTGCTACGCTGAAAGTTTCCCAAACCGTAGAATCCGACCGCGCGCGAAACGCACAATAGTTAAAATTCAGAAATGCGGCGATTCTGGGCGGATATGCGAATCGAGGTAATAGCGTGGGCCTTCAAGATGCAGGATTCGCCCATGTCCAGAAACAGACAGCGCAGAAACACGGCCTGGCGAGATCGATGCATGCAGCCTTTGCTGATGGTGTCTTGCATGCTGGTTTCGTTGTTCTAGCATGTAAGCGATCCGTGTCGCACAGCGTCGGTTCTAACGTTCGTGTGGCGTCGGATACGAGAACGGCACAATCACAGTGCAGTCGCGTGCCCATAACCATACACGCTTTCACGTGCTATGCGCCACACGTCATTATGGTGATCATACGTGGACGTCGGTTTCCATGTGGGTGGGCGGAAGCGTGCATTTTGAAAACGGTGCGCAGATGGCGGTTTCATCGCAGGCCCCCTAACCCAATTCCATCATGCTGATCCCAATGACAACGGACAACAAGCGTTGAATCAGTGGGCTACTTACCATTAGGGGCGTAGCGACGGTGATGTCTCGAAGGCAAGGGGCGGGGCTATACTGCAGTCGTATCAACATTGCAAAGCCGTGACGCGCCGTCGGGAGGACCCGCGCCGCTCGCGCGCGCGGCGACACCCCCCGCTGGCGCGCGCGGCGGCACCGCGCTCGCCCCTATTCGCCCCTCGTGCCCCGCGCGCGGCAGCTGCTGCCTCACGCGCATGGTTGATCCGTACAGGACGGGCCAACCGATCAAACGCTTCGTGAGCTTTTGAGGGACGGTCCCTGCTGATCCGTGTGAGGTCGTATCACGTACCGTCTGGAGCGCGCCCCGCCTGAGTCTGACGCGCCGCGTCGCGAGGGGACGTGTCCGTGGGGCAGGTTTTTCGGTGGGTATGTCCATGCGCGTGCACTCAAGCAGGTGTTTGATGGGTCATCCAATCGTGGGGCCTCTGGCCAAACACGAGGTTTCGCCGCTGGTCCGGAGACTCTGCGCAGTGTGCGCAGCTCCCCGGTTGCTTTTTGGGCCGTTCTTTTCCCCCCATGTCGGGTTATCCGCCCCCCCGATGGCTTGCTGTCATGGCCAGTTTCAGGCCCCGCGTTGGTGCGGCACCTTTTCGCCCGCAAGATCTTTTCTGGAAAATCCACTGCGTCCTTCCGATGAAAAGGAAGAGCAGGCATTTTCTTGTGCCCCCCCGGTCGTGCCTCCGATTTGAGGTAGATACGGCCGACGACAAAACAATCAATCTGGCCAGGCGGCGCCCTTGCGCGAACATTGGAAGTGAATGGTGCGGGGGGATGGGCCAGACACGAAAGTTGTGTCACCTTTTTTTCAGGGCGGGGCAGGTCCCCGAGAATACCCCCCCCCGATTTCCTCCTTGCCGCGCTCGGTTTCGGCGGTTGCCTGTGCTGCGTCGAAAGAGCCCCCCCAGTGCCCGTTTACGCGGCGTCCGTGGCGGGTTTCGGATTCGGCGGGCCGCGGTATAATCAGGGTAATCTTTTTCCTTTTCCGCCCCTGCTCGTTCGGAGGCCCAGAGATTGGCACGAAGACCAATATCGACGGTTGCCTTCACTGAGGGAAGACGATCCCGATCTCGGCGATGGTGGTAACATTCGGGTCTCTTGGGCGGCCGGAGTATTGCCACCACCACCACCAACATCTAGGACCATTTTCCCCCATTGGAAACAAACCCCACGTGTTTGTGTATGATGTTCAGGACGTGTGTTAGCCCGGCGTGTGTCTATTCAGTTCAGCTCCACCGGTAGAGCGCAGCCCGAGTCTTCCCTTCATGCGTTGCTTGCGTCGTAGCTCGCCGAGCTGGTGTTGGTGCCGAATTCCAGGCCTTCGGCGTCGGTACGGCGAGCGGTTCCACGGACGAAAGAAGGACGTACACGTACATGGGTCCGTGTTGGTTTCGAGAGTACGCATTGCGCGAACGTTCGTATCACGCGGCCGCTCTCCCAGATTGGGGAGCCGTGTTCATGTACGCGGTTGGGCGCTTATGTCCTTTGTGAACTCCCTACGGTTGCGCGCTCGCGCGCGCGCGCGCGCCCGTCCTCGAGTTTCCAGGGCCGCCGCCGCCACTTGCGCGCCGTCCCGCGTGCCACCCGCCCCGTTCGGCTGGCTCAGGGCTCGGGCCCCACTGGCGGAAAACGTGCCCGCATCTACTGCCTCGCGGGCCGGGCCCTGGGGGCCGCTGCCTTGCGGATGCGGGGGGGGGGGGGGGGGCGTTTTTCGCGGATGGCCCACGCGGAACGCACCCTCGCGACCGCGCATCCACGTGATCTCGCGCCTTGAAATCCAGACCGCGAGGGCGTGGATATGCACACGTTCGCCGCTCGTGGGAAAAAGGGTCGATCCTATCTGTATTTGGACCCCGTGCTCGGCATCTCGCCCTGCGTGGGGCGCGTCGGTCTGCGTCCTCCGCTCACCCTCCTCACGTTTTCCTCCTCCGCTCTCATGCCGGCGTTGGGAGGCTTCGCGGCGGACCTGGAGCAGAGTGCACGTAGTGGTCGAGCCGAATGAAGGAAGGGAGGGCGGGGAGGAGGAACATGAAACGGAGTTGGAGGGTTGGAAACGGAGGAGGAGGACGAGGAGGAGGAGGAGGAGGAAGAAAAAGAGGAGGAGGAGGACAAGGAGGAAAAGGAGGAGGAGGAGGAGACGAGGAAAAGGAGGATGAGGAGGAGGACAGGGAGGAAAAGGAAGAGGACGAGGACGAGGATGGAGGAGGAGGGGAGGGGAAAGGAGGGGGATGATGCTGATGCTGATGATCGTGATTATGATACTGATACTGATCATGACAATGGCAATTCTAATGATAATGATAATGATACTGATGCTGATGATGCTGATGATGCTGATGTTGGTGTTGATGCTGATGCTGCTGCTGATGATGATGATGCTGATGATGCTGCTGCTGATGATGGTGGTGGTGATGATGATGACGATGATGCTGATGATGCTGCTGATGATGATGAGGATGATGATGGTGGTGGTGGTGGTGATGATGATGCTGATGCTGATGCTGATGATGCTGATGATGCTGCTGCTGATGATGATGCTGATGATGATGATAAGGAGGAGAAGGAGGAGGAGAAGGAGGAGGAGTAGTAGGAGGAGGATGAGGGTGAGGACGAGAAGGAGGAGGAGGCGGAGGACCAGTGTAAACCCACGACGCATCAACGATCCTGCGAGAATCCCTCCCTCAAAGTTCCTTCCCTCAATGCTCCCACTTGGACACGATCCGCGTGAGAAACCCAGTCGCCCTGGGGGGTGTGGGGGGGTGTTACGCAACCGCGTCCTCCTGGCGCACAATCCGTGTGATGGGTGCGTTGAGATGGGCGGAGGGACGCCGTCGTGGCCGTGAGGATCATTGCTTTCCTCGGGGTTT